AGTGTCATACATACACACATGTACGTGTGTGTTATGTACATAATTGCACATGTGTTTGTATTGTACAGTGTGTATTTTGTACATTTGTGCGTGTACGCATCTTGTATATATCTGTATGTATGTATATGTGTGTGTGTGTGTTTTTTTGACAACCTGACAACCGAGCAAGTTTGTATATACAAGGGGGTTTTATTAAACTTTGCAAAATTTGTTTTTCTTCACATGCTAAAACAATAGAATACACACAGAGACAAGCACACACATACACACATACATACAAATGGTCATACAAACTGGTATGTCACGGCAAACTCGATAGCAAGCAAATGCTATATTTACACTTTGTATGCGTGTAGTGATTCGATTTTGTGTACGTGTGTATGTATGTGTGTGTTTGTATGTCTGTATGTATGTGTATGTATGTGTGTTTGTATGTTTGTACGTATGTATGTGTTGTGATTTTAGATTGTTTAGCTATTGCTTCACAGTTGGGTGATTTCGTATCGCTATCAAAATTCGTGATGGAACATTAAAAGAAAAATTTTCCAAATCTCTAAACTTTTATATCACGTTTTAAACACACACGGACAAGATCAGCCCCCAAATACACACACACAGACACACAGACACACAAACAGACAAACACACACACACACACAGACACACAAACAGACAAACAGACAAATACACACACACAGATTATTCTATACATATCTCACAGACGCTCTCATACATATATCGATTGAGAGATAGAGGAATTTAAAGAGAGAAAGCTAGGCGTAAAGAGAAAGAGAGAAAAAAGAATTTAAAAAAAGAAATAAGAGAGAGAGAGAGAGAGAGAGAGACCAAGAGAGTTATTCGGAAAAATAAAAACAAACTGATTTATTCATAAACAGCAAAGCAAACATACAACCAAGCAAACAAACGCTTACAACACAACACACACAACAAACTTGCAACACACACACACACACACACACACACACACACACACACACACACACACACACAACATACATTCAAACATGCGCAAACAAACACATACACAAAAACACACACATACACAAATACATGCATTCAAACGCAAACATAAATGTATGTTTGAATTTAAAAAATTATACTCAAAGATTTTAGAAATCAGGAAGCGAAATCGTTTAAAAATTTTAATTCCTTTGATATGATATCTGTATGTATATGTGTATGTATGTATGTATGTATGTATGTGTGTATGTATATATACTTGCGTATGTTTGTGTGTGTGTGTGTGCTATGTGCGTGCTTGCAATTTTGTATGTGATTAAGAGGGTGTAGTTTGATAAATGTGTTCTCAGCCAATTACCATCCCAATCATTCTTACTAGTATTCTCGACAAATTCTCCTTAAAGTTAAGTTTGTGCTATAAACATTTTAATTGCTGACTCCGATCATAACAATATCTATAATAAAATTGTTTTTATTATTATTTGTAGTTGTAAAAGAATGATAGTAGTAATCGTAATAGTAAAAGCAACATTAGTAGTAGTAGTAGTAGTAGCAGCTGTAGTACTGGTAGTAGTAGTAGTAGTAATAGCAGTAGCATTAATAGCAGTAGCAGTAGTAGTAGCAGCAGTTGTAGTACTGGTTTACTGGTTGTTGTATTAGTAGTAGTAGTACTGGTAGTAGTAGTAGCAGTAGCAGCAGCAGCTGCAACAGTAGTAGAAGTAGTAGTAGTAAGTAGTAGTAGTAGTAGTAGTAGTAGTAGTAGTAGTAGTAGTAGTAGTAGTAGTAGTAGTATTCGGAAGGCAGTTAATTTAATGTCATATGATTTTAGCTAAATTTTATAAGTTTAGTAATTAGTTAATTACCCGGAAGATTGTATATTTGAATGATATTTAATAATTCATTCCTTCGTTTTTCTGTTCCTACATTCTATCATTCATTCATTTTTCATTCTATGGTTTGTTCGTTAGTTCATTCATTTGTTCATTCATCCGTCCATTCATACTCACATACGTACATTCATTCATTCGTTCGTTCGTTCGTTCGTTCGTTCGTTCGTTCGTTCGTTCGTTCGTTCGTTCGTTCGTTCGTTTGTTTGTTTGTTCATTCATTTGTCCATTCATCCGTTCATTCATTCGTTCGTTTGTTCGTTCGTTCATTCGTTCATTCCTGGTAATTCTATTGAATTGGAAGTAGTCAGATTTTTAGTACAGCAACAAGCAATCGATGTCTACTCTATCACGATGTCCAACAATACATACACATATACAAACAAATATATAAATATTCAAACATACATACACACACACATACATACACACACACATACATACACACACACATACACACATACATACATACGTTCATACACACATACATAAAAACATACATACACATACATACACATACATATAAACATGCGGACATCTGTGGTAAATTAAACACAAACGCATACAACCCCGCTGAGCTTATGATTGCTTATTTGTTTGTTCGTTTGTTCGTTTGTATGTTTGTATGTTTGTATGTTGTTGTAGTTTTTGTGGTTGTGGCTAAATATTGACGAAATTAATGACAGAGATTTTAAACTCGTATTTGCTTTTAAAAATTATAATTTGTATTTGTTTATGGTTATCAGCATAATTTATTCCCTATGGTCTGTTATTTATAATGTAATTGATTATATAGATATCTTCACATTTGTAATGTAATTTGTAACGTAAGACCACTGGGGGTGAATTTTAAAGGGTTTTAAATAGACTTATAACTAGGCAAAATTCAGATTGTATAGTTCAATTCCAGAGGTAAATGAACGATGGTTATGGCGTTTTACGACGAATTTCCTTATACTGTTCATGATTGGAATTAGCAATGTATTTTTTAATTTAGTACGTTTTAAATTTATTATTTTGTTATTGCTTTTATAGATATTAATGTTTATTTATTGTTTAATTTGGGCTTAAAATTGAGTTTTTGAGAAGAATTTTGTGTGATTTCTTCAATAATTTGTCAATTTCAGTGCTGGTTTCATTATAAAAATTTTAACCCAAGACGACTGTTTGAATGTTTTTTTTCTAATTCTACAAAAAAATCATTTTCAATTTTAATTAAAATATTAATCAAAATTAATTTTGTAATCTTTTTTCATGATATAAACATATCAATCCATCCTCATGATATTCACATATGTATCTATTAAGTGGGATACATATGTATCCATCCATCTATCCATGTATCTATTTACGTATCTAACTATCATTCGGTTGTACCAGATAATCGTAAAATAGATGACAGACCGACAAACCAAAAGCCATAACAACTAAGGAATAGCCCTATTTTAAAAATTGAAATATAGCACTATTTATTTAAAAAATATTAAGATGTATATTAATTGCGAGATATGACGATAACGTTGTTTTATCATTTGGCGAGCTTGCATTCAAACTCAGGCAATCCAGCATTAAATAAAAAATTAGTGTAGTTATTCAGCATATTATAGCTATATACATCTATAACATTTTTAGATTTTATTTCTCGAAAGCCTTATTGAATCATATCTCAACTTCAACTACCTACAAAGTGTTCATCAATTTTGTAATCATTCATTAGTTTACACAACACAATTACTACGAACCAGATTGTAAGAGGCATTGACGCCAGTCTGGGTAGTTGCTGGCGTTTTAGTAGTGGCCGCACCCTCATTTTCCTTAGTAGTCCCAACTAAATCACTGAAACCTTGACTGCCACCAGCCACAACAGCAGAAGTTGCAATAAATGAAAAGTATGTTTGTTTTTTCGAAGGTTCGAATGTTGTTGTTGAGATGACTAGCTTTGCTGTGGATGGTTCTAGATAAGTTGTGAATGCAGTTGAAGAAGCCACCTTCGTTGGATGTGTTGGGATTGAGTTTGACATTTCCGTCGAGCCTGTTTTCGATGGTTCAATTGTTGCAACCGATGAAAATGCAGTCGCAAACGCGTTTGGGATCTCAGTTGAAGTTACAGTTGCCAAATTATTTTTTGTTTCTGGTTCCTGTGTAACTACAACTCTCTGTCGCTTGTGTTCCATTTTGTTCTTTCACGGCTGTCGTTGTCGAGCCTTCTGCTGTTGGGTGGAAAATAATTTTAAAAGTTTATGCGTAAATTTGTAATTCTAGTAAGATGATGTTGACGGTTTGTAATTAAATTAATTTCTTTAGAATAGGGGTGAACAAACTACGGCTCGCGAGGCCTTGTTCGCCGAATAAGGTCGTCAGCCAGACATTATAACCAAAAAAAGGAGCCACAAATTTAAAAAAAATTCTCCCCCGGGTGGAAAATTTACTATTTAAGTAAATATGCAGCCCTTCAAAGGTAAAATAGTTCTCTATACGGCCCTCTCAGCAAAACGTTTGTCCACTCCTGCTTTAGAATATTCGATAAATTAATGTTTAGTTTTTTGAAAATAACATTTTGATTACAACTACCTGTACTGCAAATGATTGTAATCAGAAAAATCCAATTTATTTAGAGGTTTTCTCGACGTTTCTTCAACTGGGAACAAAAGGTCCACAATCCTAAAATATGGAAGGTACAATTTTACTTCGTACAATTAATAAAAAAAGTGAGAATTGTAAAATTTAATTTAATTAAAATTCAATAAGATATATAAAGAAAAATAATAAATAAATAATAATAAAATTTTCAAAAGTACGATTTACTTCAAAGTATTGTCCCACGAAAAGATGAGAATGAGCGGTCAAGTTTTGTTTGAAAACTTTTACAATTCTTAAATAATCTTTTTCTATTTATTTCTTCATTATTAAAATAATTAAAATTTGATAACATAGTTATTATTATTTATCTAAGATAAATATTTAAGTGTGGTTAGAGGGAGAGAGAGAGAGAGAGAGAGAGAGAGAGAGAGAGAGAGAGAGAGGAGAGAGGAGAGAGGATCCAAAATTCATTTACTTATTTCTTAACCTCTTGAGATTTTCTATCTATTTATTCTAATTTTAGAATACTTTCAAGTATTAATTTTTGTTTAATCGTTCCAGCAAACACATGAAACCCAAGTTGATTAAGGCAGTTTTAATGGATTATTCTTGTTTTGGGTTAGAAAAATTAAAAAGTGTTTGTATATTTTGAATTCGTATCTATTTTTTACTAGAATTTTTTTCTAATTTAACCTAAGAGGTAGCCACACGTGCGTTATTGGTGGTAGGTGGGAGCCGAAAGCGGCCACAGCAAAACCGGCACAAGGCGTTTTAACCATTTCGTCATTCCATCAAATTCATAAAGTCAATAATGAAAATAGTCTTTAAAGCCTATATCAATTTCTAACAAATTTTGTAACTGAATGAATGAATGAATGAATGAATGAATTAATGAATTAATGAATGAATGAATGAATGAATTAATTAATTAATTAATTAATTAACGTATGAATGAATGAATTCACAGATTAATGAATGAGTAAATCTGTCAATCATTTAATCAGTCAATCGACCAAGCAATCAACCAATCGAAATTAAAACGAGGCAAACTGTCGAAATATAAAAACATTTATTAGTTAAACTTCAAATTAATGCTGTGCAAAACAGTTATCATTGTTAGCTAAGATACTTAGCATTAAGGATTGCTTTCAATTTAATTTAGTTAAAATTACAGAAAGTTTCAATAAATTCAAGTGATTTTATGGAGCAACTGGAGAATTGAAACAAATATTATAGCAGTGAACGTTTGCATAATTAATGATTAACATCTACACTGGCTTTCTACGTATAAAGTTGTTTCATTAGAAGGTCTTTACCGCTAAAACTGCTTAAATAATTTAATTAGCACTACATTAAGTAACAAAAATATCGAAATCTGTTTCCAGTATTGTTTCCTGTATGTAAAAAAAACTGAAAATTAGTGACGAAAGTTCACTTTTAAATCTTCATGACGGCGTAGTAGATGGCTGCCGAAACCAGCAGAATGGCCGAACATTGTTTCTGGTAGGGCGGGAAAAAAAAATTTTAAGTTAGATGAAAATTTTGCAAAAAATTTAAATTCAAAATTTTTTAATAATTTGGTATATGCCACAGGAATCTAAACTGTTAAAATAGTGAATGCAGGCATGCTAGCTCAGGCGATGAATGCTTAAAAACTATCTTATATCTCGTTCGTGTATCTTATATCTCGTTCGTGTATCTTATATCCTGTCCGTGTATCTTATATCCTGTCCGTGTATCTTATATCCTGTCCGTGTATCTTATATCCTGTCCGTGTATCTTATATCCTGTCCGTGTATCTTATATCCTGTCCGTGTATCTTATATCCTGTCCGTGTATCTTATATCCTGTCCGTGTATCTTATATCCTGTCCGTGTATCTTATATCCTGTCCGTGTATCTTATATCTTGTCCGTGTATCTTATATCCTGTCCGTGTATCTTATATCTTGTCCGTGTATCTTATATCCTGTCCGTGTATCTTATATCTTGTTCGTGTATCTTATATCCTGTCCGTGTATCTTATATCTTGTCCGTGTATCTTATATCCTGTCCGTGTATCTTATATCTTGTTCGTGTATCTTATATCTTGTCCGTGTGGTGAGATGTCTGCAGATGCATGCTTCGTGTGGTCTGACTGTTTTTAGCACTAAATAGGCAAGAAAATGCAAAACATGCCGCCAATTATGTGGCTAGAAATTAAACATTTCATTTATTGAATACAACGAAACGCTACTCACAAGGCTGGAAGCACCATTGAGTGATTTCGTGGTGGTGGTCATACCTGTCGTCATCGGTAGTGGAGAAGATGGATAAGAGCCAGTTGGAGGAGGAGGAGGTGACCCTGTAGGAGGTGACCCTGTAGGGGGTGATCCAGTAGGGGGTGATCCAGTGGGACGTGATCCAGTAGGGGTTGATGCCGTGGATGTTCCCTGGAGTTCAGGCATCTGAACTGTTTTGAGGTTAATGGAAAAAAATTATTATGAAAATGATAAAACTATTTTGACAAGCATTTCAAGACAGGTGCATAAATTGGTGATATTAATTTGTTGGTCTTATTAGTCAGTTAAGTGACCACCATTCACATTGTTGTCAAGGTTCTTTAGCTAAATTTAAATCTCTCTCTCTCTCTCTCTCTTTCTCTCTTTATCTTTTTACAGACTTTTCTCTTAAGATCTTTGTTTTTTTGGTGTATCTCTATCTCTTTTTTTCTAACAACACAGACTCTCTCTTTCTCTCTTTCTCTCTCTCTCTCTTCTCTCTCTCTCTTTCTTTCTTTCTCTCTCTCTCTCTCTCTCTCTCTTTATATCTCTTTCTATATCTCTCCATCTTACTTTCTTTTGTAATTGAATAGAAACGTTTAATAAAAAATACTTTACCGAGAACAACGACAGCGGTTATGAAGAGGACAAGTTTGTTCATTGTTTATCGTTTACTCTCTTCTGGAAAAATGATGGAAAATTATTTTAAAAATATTAATAAATAAATAAATAAATAAAATTGAAACGAATATAATTTTTTTTTAAAATTATGTATAGAGGAATAATATTTTAAAAATATAAATAGATAGACGAATGAAAAGAAATTTAAAAATAATTATTTGTTTTTAAATTAGAATTGATTTAGAACTAAGATGAAAGAGTAGTCTTATTCTATATTAACTACAGAAGCATAATCGAGCAAGCGTTGAAAAAATAATTCTTATTAAATGAATTTTCGAAAAAAATAACAGTAATAACAAAAAAAAACAATAATAAAAAGAATAATTAATATTATAATGTAAATATTTTTCATAAGTTTTTCAAATAAATATCTTACATAAATTTTCGAAACGAATCTTTACCAGAAAATGGATCAGATCTAGCCAGAGAGAGATGATATATAGCTAGGCAGTTGCTTAATGTTACGACTCAATGATTTTCCTCTTAAATATCTTATAATTATTTTATTATGTGCTTAAAATCGCACACACACACACACACGCATAAGCACACATACGTACACACACACACACATACTACATACATGGTATGTATATGTATATATATGTGTGTGTGTGTGTTTTTATGTAATTATTCTTATGTTGTTTCAATTAATATAGCTATATAATGTTAGCTGTATATTTTTTATTAGTTTTATATATGTACATGTATATATATATCAAATATATATATATATACATGTGTTTGTGTGTGTATGTGTATGCGTGCGTGTAGGTGTACGTGTGCATATTTTTAAGAAAGAAAGAGTAAGACAATTATTTTTAATAATTATAATGATAATAATAATTGTAATAATAATAATAACAGTAATAATAATTGTAATACTACTACTAATAATAATAGTAATAATAATAATAAGCTTTCCCTTCGTCATAAGTCTATCAATCCATCAGTCATAAACATTTCATTATTGAAAATTTTTAATCAGAAAAAAAGGTACAACAACAACAACAACGACGACGACAACAACAACAACAACGACAACAACAACAATGACAACAACAACAACAACAACAACAACGACAACAACAACAACGACAACAACAACAACGACAACAACAACAACGACAACAACAACAACGACAATACAATCAACCACAATAAAAATAATTAATATTTTCATTATTATAAATATTACAAAAGAAAGCTTTGTTATATAACAGACCAACAAACAAACACACAAACATGCAGACGAACGAACGAACCAATGAACGAACGAACCAACGAACGAACCAATCAGGTATTAAAACTTAACTACATTAACGCCTGTTAGTGAATTAGTGAAAAGCATTGAATGGAAAAAAATAGACTAAAGCAAAACAATGATGGCCAACTAAGACTACAGCTATAATGAAGTTTTAATCAGAAAGAACGAAAGGTGGTAAAGAATGAAGCATTAATAATAATTCTAACAAATTTCTTTTTATTATTATTATTTGCATCATTATTATTATTATGGTTATTATCGTTATTTTAATAAAAGCTACCCAATTTAGACAATTAGAATTCCTCCACTTTTCCCACACTTGCCTGTTAATGCTTCTTGACGAGTGAACGCAATAATAATAATAATAATAATAAATAATAATAATTATAATAATAATAATTATTATTATAGTAGTAAGAATATAGCAGTGGTAATAGCTAGTGCAAGGAAAAAGGCAGATGGTCCTCATTTTATTTCAATTACTAACATTTTTAGCTGGGATTTCAGCTTAAAATCCGGATGATCTTATAGTAGTAGTAGTAGTAGTGGTGGTAGTAGTAGTAGTAGTAGTAGTAGTAGCGGCAACAGCAGTACAGCAGTAGCATTAATATTAGTTGTTGTTGATGTTGTTAGTGTTGATGTTATAAAAGTTGAGTACAATGTTTATAACTTATAGAAATATCAGCATGTTGTCAAGTTGTGTATGTATGTGTGTGTGTGTATGTATGTATGTATGTATGTATGTATGTGTGTGTGTGTATGTATGTATGTATGTATGTATGTATGTATGTATGTATGTATGTATGTATGTATGTATGTATGTATGTATGTATGTATGTATGTGTGTGTGTGTGCGCGCGTGCATTTTATTTTCCGGCTTGGCTTTCTTGTATTAACATCTATAGGTGTCGTAGTCTAGGTTTTATCTTTATACTAGCATGTCTCCTTCTTCTCAGATTAATAGTGTTACTTTCATCTACGTAGAATTAAAAAAACTTTTGCCTTTCCTTGACAATCCTACTTTTCTCCTTCTATTTTCATGTCAGATACATTAATTGAACCTAAACGCGCTGTCTTCTTGTTCTCGCTTCTTCTTAACTCGTGTTAAACACTCCTTTGCTAAATTTGCTTTTGCTTTTTCTAGCCCTATTCTCTGGAACTAAACTCTCTACCTCCTTCTCTGACTGCTTCTCCATCACTTAGGAACTTCAGAGCGGATCTCAAGACCCATCTGTTTGCAAAGTTCCTTGAGGAGCGTTGTTGAACATCGCGGAAATGTCGCTTTGATTGATTGAGTGTTGTGTGTGAATAGATAAATTGCCTAACTGGGACTATGCAAACACACACGCGCGCGCACACACACACATGCGCACGCACGCGCACACACACACACACGCAAGAATTTCATTAAATAACTTTCATTTTAATCATTAAGCCACGGCAAGCAGATGTTAATTTAATTTGTGTTGCTTCTCACATTTTCCAAATATTTTTTCGGCAAATCAACAAAAAAAAATCTTTCATTTTTATATAGAATAAAATCCCATTAAATTTAATTATAGTCATAATATATTCATAATATATTTTATACATAATTTTTATAACGGTTAATTATTGGAGGAATAAGTTTTTTTGGTTTGAGGCTATCAACAACAGTGTCAAGAAAAGCAGTTCCTGCATGAATGAATAAATGAATGAATGAATTGATGGATGAATGAACGAATAGATGAATGAATAGATAGGTGAATGGATGAGTGAATGAATGGATGAATAAATGGAATGAATGGCTAAAAAAATTAATGCAAGAACGTATGAGAATTAAATAATTGAATGAATTAATAAACATCATTATCACCATTACAATCATCATCATTATCACAATCCTCTTCCTCATCATCGTCACAATCATCATCATCATTATCACAATCATCATCATCATCACAATCATCATCATCAACTAACAAAACATCTCAAATTACATGCCACTGATGGTCTCAGTAACTTCCAATCTGTTGTTGGTGGAGGTGACGATGTTGTTGTTGTTATTGTTGTTGTTGTTGTTATTGTTGTTGTTATTGTTGTTGTTATTGTTGTTGTTGTTATTTCTGTTGTTAATGGTGGTGGTGGTGATGTGGATGTTATTGCGGGCGCTGATGTGATTGGTGATGGGGTTGTTGGTGATGTAGTTGTTGGTGATGTAGTTGTTGGTGATGTAGTTGTTGGTGATGTAGTTGTTGGTGATGTAGTTGTTGGTGATGTAGTTGTTGGTGATGTAGTTGTTGGTGATGACTTTCCAGTGTAGCTAAGCATGTCCTCATGATCATCGTCTGCGTCTAATACTTGAGCATGTGTTTTCGCTACAACAAGCAAGATGATTGGGAGAGCTGTTTGTTTGTTTTATGAATGAATGAATGAGTGAGTGAGTGAGTGAGTGAGTGAGTGAGTGAGTGAGTGAGTGAGTGAGTGAGTGAGTGAGTGAGTGAGTGAGTGAGTGAATGAATGAATGAAAAATGAATTAAGAAGATTATAAATAAACACGAACCAATCAGAGGAAAGAATAAATTTATCCAGGCCATCTCTTTATTAGCTCAAACGGAAAGAATGTGGAAAAACCGGAAATAGTTTGCAAAACCGGAAATAGTTTGTGAAAACTTAACTGATTTCAAAGATGAAAAATTTCAATTATTTAAATCATAACGAAAAACTTCTTTATAACTAAAACTAAGTTGTACATACATACATAATTAATACAATTGTATATACCTACACAATACAAAACGACCTATATACAATACAAAATGACCTACAAACAATACAAAATGACCTATATACAATACAAAATGACCTACAAACAATACAAAAATGACCATACACAATACAAAATGACATACAAAA